ATGGCCTTCTTCCTCCCCTCCATCCCCTCCCCAAAAATCCGCACCAACATTCGTAACCGTCTGGGCGTGCAGGGTAACATGGTAGGCGATGCCGTGTGCTGCTGCTGCTGCGGCTGCTGCTCCATCTGCCAGGAGCTCCGAGCTGTTCCCTCGCGAGGAGTGGCACCTTCTGGAACCCAAGGGGAAAATCCCGTGTTCTCTGCCCCGGAGATCATCTTCATCAAGTAAGAGTAATACGTGAGGGATGCGCCCAAAATGCTTTCACTTTAAGATAGAATTACTGTTATATATAAAAACATTTTTAAAAACTGTTCTTAAGTTTAATACCTATACTATATACATTGTTCCTGTTTTAATTCTTTTCTGTTTTCAATTCAAAGGAGGTTAGTTCACCTCTCATTTTGCCACACGGCCACTTTCATCAACCTTATTACCACGCCCTATGCGTTTATTACATTCCAATGTACGCAAAGGAAAACTGACTTGGCGATTGAGCATCACTAAACTCTCTCTTTATATCTTTCTTTTTTTTTTTAGTAAGACTTAACTTACACTACCAAGCGACTATCGATGTCTGAAAAGGAATACCCGACTGAGGAGCCCAAGCAGGAGGAGCCCAAGAAGGAGGAGCCCACCAAAAATGCCGACAAGAAGGACCGCTCCGTGGACCCCGACAAGGAGGCCAAGAAACTGGAGAACAACGACGGCGACAAGGAGAACAAGGAGATCGACAAGGCTGGCGAGGGCGGCGTCAAGAGCTGGCTCGGTATTGACCAGATCGACTGGGGTGGTGAGGCCGGCAAGTTCTACGAATGCTGGAAGCTCAACCCCTGCTGCGGTACCCCGAGCCCCCCAAAAAAAAAAACCCTTTTTTCTTTTGGACGTGCTGTGGATGCTGCTCTCAGAGTAAGCTCTACGCCTCCACCGTCGGTCAGGAGTGCGCCTTCATTCCCCACTGTCTGATGGCCTTCTTCCTCCCCCCCCTCCCCCCCCCTCATCCTCGCACCAACATTCGTAACCGTCTGGGCGTGCAGGGTAACATGGTAGGCGATGCCGTGTGCTGCTGCTGCTGCGGCTGCTGCTCCATCTGCCAGGAGCTCCGAGCTGTCCCCCGCGAGGAGTGGCACCTTCTGGAGCCCAAGTGGAAGACTCCCGTGTGCTCTGCCCCGGAGATCATCTTCATTAAGTAACATAAAACTTTTTTTTTTCTTTACTTTCTTCTTTCCTTCATTACATTCGCGTGTGTTTTGTTTCCATTTTTTTTTTTTAATTTAGGGGTAAAAGATTTCTTTTAGTGAATTAGCTCCTTCGGACGAGTTCCTTAAATTTGTCTTTTCACACTAAAAACCCAAAAATAAACATGAAGAAGTAAAAATATCATCAACTAGGATAACTACAGTAGATTGTCACCCTCTGAACACGCAAAGGGATGACTAAATGACAACACACTTATTCTGTTCATCAGGTGACGACTTCCTGTACACAATGGTCACTAGGCGTGTTTCTAGTACACTCCTCCCTTTCCTCCTCTTCCTTTTCCCCTTAGTAACACTTAACTTCCACTACCAAGCTACTACCAATGTCTGAAAAGGAATACCCGACTGAGGAGCCCAAGCAGGAGGAGCCCAAGAAGGAGGAGCCCACCAACGATGCCGACAAGAAGGACCGCTCCGTGGACCCCGACAAGGAGGCCAAGAAACTGGAGAACAACGACGGCGACAAGGAGAACAAGGAGATCGACAAGGCTGGCGAGGGCGGCGTCAAGAGCTGGCTCGGTATTGACCAGATCGACTGGGGTGGTGAGGCCGGCAAGTTCTACGAATGCTGGAAGCTCAACCCCTGCTGCGGTACCCCCGAGCCTCTCAAGATGATCACCTGCTTCGTCTGCTGGACGTGCTGTGGATGCTGCTCTCAGAGTAAGCTCTACGCCTCCACCGTCGGTCAGGAGTGCGCCTTCATTCCCCACTGTCTGATGGCCTTCTTCCTCCCCTGCATCACCTCCCTCATCATCCGCACCAACATTCGTAACCGTCTGGGCGTGCAGGGTAACATGGTAGGCGATGCCGTGTGCTGCTGCTGCTGCGGCTGCTGCTCCATCTGCCAGGAGCTCCGAGCTGTCCCCCGCGAGGAGTGGCACCTTCTGGAGCCCAAGTGGAAGACTCCCGTGTGCTCTGCCCCGGAGATCATCTTCATCAAGTAAGAGTAATACGTGAGGGATGCGCCCAAAATGCTTTCACTTTAAGGTAAAATTACGCCATTAAATAAAATATTTTTAAACCTGTACTTATTTTCAATATTTATACTATATACATGTTTGTTTGTTTGAGCTGTTTCATCCTTTGTTATTGTCCTTACATATCAAGGCGTCAGCTCGCCTCTCATTTTGCCCTAGGGCTACTTTAATGAACTTCACTATGACGTCCCCCCGGGTTATTGCATTCCAATGCATGCGGAAGAAAACTGTCCTGATGTCTCCACAACACCACATTGTCTCTCTTCCCCCTTAGTAACACTTAACTTCCACTACCAAGCTACTACCAATGTCTGAAAAGGAATACCCGACTGAGGAGCCCAAGCAGGAGGAGCCCAAGAAGGAAGAGCCCACCAACGACGCCGACAAGAAGGACCGCTCCGTGGATCCCGACAAGGAGGCCAAGAAACTGGAGAACAACGACGGCGACAAGGAAAACAAGGAGATCGATAAGGCTGGCGAGGGCGGCGTCAAGAGCTGGCTCGGTATTGACCAGATCGACTGGGGTGGTGAGGCCGGCAAGTTCTACGAATGCTGGAAGCTCAACCCCTGCTGCGGTACCCCCGAGCCTCTCAAGATGATCACCTGCTTCGTCTGCTGGACGTGCTGTGGATGCTGCTCTCAGAGTAAGCTCTACGCCTCCACCGTCGGTCAGGAGTGCGCCTTCATTCCCCACTGTCTGATGGCCTTCTTCCTCCCCTGCATCACCTCCCTCATCATCCGCACCAACATTCGTAACCGTCTGGGCGTGCAGGGTAACATGGTAGGCGATGCCGTGTGCTGCTGCTGCTGCGGCTGCTGCTCCATCTGCCAGGAGCTCCGAGCTGTTCCTCGCGAGGAGTGGCACCTTCTGGAGCCCAAGTGGAAGACTCCCGTGTGCTCTGCCCCGGAGATCATCTTCATCAAGTAAGAGTAATACGTGAGGGATGCGCCCAAAATGCTTTCACTTTAAGGTAAAATTACGCCATTAAATAAAATATTTTTAAACCTGTACTTATTTTCAATATTTATACTATATACATGTTTGTTTGTTTGAGCTGTTTCATCCTTTGTTATTGTCCTTACATATCAAGGCGTCAGCTCGCCTCTCATTTTGCCCTAGGGCTACTTTAATGAACTTCACTATGACGTCCCCCCGGGTTATTGCATTCCAATGCATGCGGAAGAAAACTGTCCTGATGTCTCCACAACACCACATTGTCTCTCTTCCCCCTTAGTAACACTTAACTTCCACTACCAAGCTACTACCAATGTCTGAAAAGGAATACCCGACTGAGGAGCCCAAGCAGGAGGAGCCCAAGAAGGAAGAGCCCACCAACGACGCCGACAAGAAGGACCGCTCCGTGGATCCCGACAAGGAGGCCAAGAAACTGGAGAACAACGACGGCGACAAGGAAAACAAGGAGATCGATAAGGCTGGCGAGGGCGGCGTCAAGAGCTGGCTCGGTATTGACCAGATCGACTGGGGTGGTGAGGCCGGCAAGTTCTACGAATGCTGGAAGCTCAACCCCTGCTGCGGTACCCCCGAGCCTCTCAAGATGATCACCTGCTTCGTCTGCTGGACGTGCTGTGGATGCTGCTCTCAGAGTAAGCTCTACGCCTCCACCGTCGGTCAGGAGTGCGCCTTCATTCCCCACTGTCTGATGGCCTTCTTCCTCCCCTGCATCACCTCCCTCATCATCCGCACCAACATTCGTAACCGTCTGGGCGTGCAGGGTAACATGGTAGGCGATGCCGTGTGCTGCTGCTGCTGCGGCTGCTGCTCCATCTGCCAGGAGCTCCGAGCTGTTCCTCGCGAGGAGTGGCACCTTCTGGAGCCCAAGTGGAAGACTCCCGTGTGCTCTGCCCCGGAGATCATCTTCATCAAGTAAAACTTAGAAAACACTACTGTTTTTTGTTTTTGTGTATTTAATTAACTCCCTTCCCTACAGAACTATTTAACAAATTAGTTCGAACTCTCATTTTGTCGGCAGACATTCAAAACTAACCCGTAATTTTACTTTTTTTTTTTTTTCTTATTCAGTATTAATATTATACTAACACATTGAGATATTGTACTCGTATGATAAAAATTGTTTAATTGTCGAATAGTCCGTTTGTGATGCTGTGGGGTTTTTCTTGCCGTTATTGCTACCACTGCGTTTCTCTTTTTCTTGGTTCGTCAGAGTGTGTCACTAGGAAAGGGAAAGAAAAAGATGATTCGTAAAAAAGGTCAATCCCTTGCATTTCACTTAACGAATAGTTGTGTAAAGCGTTTTGAACAAGAAAGAAAGACAAAAGACTTCATACGCACGAGACTTACGGCGCAGGCGAAACCACACTTAATCGTCTGCTCCGACGATGGTAAACGTGTCCTGGTGGACGGAAAGTCCTGTCTGCTGCCAATGAAAGACACGTTTCCTGTCAAAGATTTATCTCTTGCCGCTTTTATCGGGGAGGATCCGAAAAGCACTTTTAACATTTTTGCCGCGACGCCCAATAACGTGGACGAGAAGCTGACCAGCCAGTTGGACTGGGTCCACTCCCGCGACCTCCTCGGTTCCTCCGACCCCGACGCCCAGACGTTGCTGTCTCTCTCCATGTCCTGCGTGCAGTGGCTCGCGTCGATCCCGTTCTGTGCCAAGTGCGGCGCGCCCACCAGCGTGAACGACTGGGGCATGCGGCGGACCTGCACCGCGTGTAAACAGGTGTACTACCCTGTCATCTCCCCTGCCATGATTGTGGCGGTGCTGGACGGAAAGGGTAGCGTGCTGCTCTCGCAAAGACGGCAACAGTTTGGGCCGGCGACGGACCGGCCGATGCGGACCATACTGGCTGGGTTCGTGGCCCAGGGGGAGTCGCTCGAGGAGACCGTCGTCCGGGAGGTCGAGGAGGAGAGCGCAGCTCGGGTGACGTCATTGCGGTATGTCGGCTCACAGCCGTGGCCGTACCCTTCCCAACTGATGGTGTGCTTCTACGCCGTCGCCGGTGGGGGGCACACGCTGGTCGCTCAGGAAAGCGAGTTAGTCAACGTGGCTTGGGTGAAGAAGGAGGAGGTGCGGAAGGCACTGAACGGGGAGCACGAGGAGTTTATCATTCCACCGCCTTTTACGGCGGCCCACACCCTTCTGTCCGCGTGGGCGTCTGGTGAAGTCAATGATTTGGGTGAATAATGCCTTACCATCATTTTTATTTCTGTCAGTTTTCATCATTACTGTTATTATCGTTACTATTATCGCTTATACTCCTCCTCGGTTGTCCTTGACCAGCTGCTCTGGTGAATCCAAGTCATCTCACGGGTTTGGGTGCCTGTTGGAAAGTGAGCTCCCAAGTCCGCCTGCTGTGCAGATAAAGCGAAAAAGAAGAAGAAAAAAAACTTGCTATTTCATCAAACGAAATACAAAAATTTCTCTTCTTCCATCGTTTCTTAACAAGAGAGTAAAGTATTCTATCATCGTTTTTTTTTTTTTTTTCGTGTCATATATACTTGTAGACAATCGCCTCCATGCAGGGTGCAGAAGGGTTCAATGAGAACTACTACTACTACTACACGATGCCCGATGGCTCCTATGGGTATGTGCAGGACGGAAATAGAGACTTCACACCGCGGGAGTCGCTCGAGCAGCCACAGCCGAACGGGTACAGTCAGGGACCATACGGAGGGGGCACCGGGTACGCCGTGCCACAGACCCAGTCAGGGTATCAGGCGCCGCAGGACCAGTACTACTACGATGCCAACACTGGCTGTTACTACTACTACTCCCAGGAAGCGGAGGGTTCACAGGAGCCGACGGCGGAAGGCGAGTCGACCGCGCTGGCGGCACCGCAGACGGTTAGTGGGAACGCCGCGTACCCCGCAGAGACGGAAGGATTCCTCTATGTCCCCCCGACGAGTTATAATGATGTGGGGCAGTGGAAAGGGGCGCGGGACTGGGCGGAAGGACCGTGTCACGCCTGCTCGCAGAGTCCGTGTTACTGCATCGGGGCCTGCCTGTGTCCTTGGTGTCTCATCATGGTGCAACGGAAGCGTCTTCTGTTGAACGATTGGTCCAATTATATTTGCTGTGCTGGGATGTGCGGCCACCACAGCTGTTGTGGGATCGGGGGATGCTGTCTCATGTGCTGCGAGGTGGCCTGCTGCCTCCCATGCTCCTTCCACGGCAACCGCTACATGCTCATGCGGCACTACAGTCTGAAGCCCATCTTCTGCGACCGGTGTATCGCCGAGATTAGCTGTGTGTGCGCCGTGTTCCGGTGCTGCTCGGACTGGTCGCCCATTTGCTGTGACTGCTGCTACCTGCCTCTTCTGTGCTGCCTCCTCACGCAGCAGCGGCGCCAGATGGAGGTGATGGAGTACCCAAAGGTAGAGGTAATGGTGTAGGTACGTAAAAAAGAAAAAAAAGAGACGGCACCCTTACGGGGCGACGTGTTTTGTCGTTCATCTTCATCGTGTGTTCACATACAAATATAAAACTTAAGTAAAAAATTCTAAAAGAAAAAAAAACTGTTACTTTGTACTGTACGAATAAAAATAATTCATTGTTTTAGATGCCCTGCTTTTTTGCTTTTTCTTTGAACAATACTTGTCATTAACACTATCATATCCAAAGAGCTGGACCATTTTATCGTAAACCAACGTCTCGCACAGCTTTGAATGACACCAAAAAAACAAAAAAAAAAAACGACCGAAGATGATTTTGTGATTCTTCTCGCCTGACACTTTGCCCTCTTTTTCAACTCACTATTCTTATTTCCTTCTTCTTTTTTACAAAAAAGTGTCTTACACACAATTCATAATGTCCTCCATCGATGCCGTGGTGAAGGAGTACCTGGACACTGTCTACCCCAAGGTGGGCCGTAAGTTCGCTAAAAGTGTGCCCAATATGTCAAAAAAGCGGTCTAGAAGCGGAACTTTAGAGGAAATTGTTAGCAAGTACCGCGCGCAGGAGGACAGCAGCTCCGACGATGAGCCGGTCCGCAAGCCGGTGAAGAAGGCTTCCCCCAAGTCCTCTCCCAAGATTGCTCCCAAGAAGGCGCCCATCGATGACAGCAGCTCCGACGATGAGCCGGTCCGCAAGCCGGTGAAGAAGGCTTCCCCCAAGTCCTCTCCCAAGATTGCTCCCAAGAAGGCGCCCATCGATGACAGCAGCTCCGACGATGAGCCGGTCCGCAAGCCGGTGAAGAAGGCTTCCCCCAAGTCCTCTCCCAAGATTGCTCCCAAGAAGGCGCCCATCGATGACAGCAGCTCCGACGATGAGCCGGTCCGCAAGCCGGTGAAGAAGGCTTCCCCCAAGTCCTCTCCCAAGATTGCTCCCAAGAAGGCGCCCATCGATGACAGCAGCTCCGACGATGAGCCGGTCCGCAAGCCGGTGAAGAAGGCTTCCCCCAAGTCCTCTCCCAAGATTGCTCCCAAGAAGGCGCCCATCGATGACAGCAGCTCCGACGATGAGCCGGTCCGCAAGCCGGTGAAGAAGGCTTCCCCCAAGTCCTCTCCCAAGATTGCTCCCAAGAAGGCGCCCATCGATGACAGCAGCTCCGACGATGAGCCGGTCCGCAAGCCGGTGAGGAAGGCTTCCCCCAAGTCCTCTCCCAAGATTGCTCCCAAGAAGGCGCCCATCGACGATGACAGCAGCTCCGACGATGAGAAACCCGTCAAGAAGGCGGCCGCACCCGTCAGCACGGCGCCAAAAGTAAAGAGCGGTCCCTCCAACCTCAACCCCGACGGTACATACCGCCGATTTCAGCGCATCGATCCGACCAAGGTGGTGATCAAACACGAGGAGTTGAAGAACAATCGGCCCCAGGAGCACCACCTGGCGCTGCGTCAGAACCGTGAAATGATGAGTGTGAAGGGAAAGAACTTTAACAAGCTGAAACAAAAGAACAAGGGAAAGTTTTATGGCGCCCCCTTAGACGGAACGGTGAGGGCGTTCAAGATTCCCGATAGCGACGAGGATGAGTAACGGAATGCAACGAAGTCTTTTTACACTATAAACGAGTAACTAATAACAATTGAATGAAAAAAAAAAAAAAAGTAAATCTATGTAATAAGATAAAAAAAAAAAAAGGTTGTTTTTGGTGATGTTTGTTACACGTTTCATTGTTGTGCTACCTATACTTTTCCCAATTGAAGTAAACCAACTATTCCACCTCTTTTTCGGCTCCTCTATAATAGCAATCAGAAACGGAAAAAAAAAAAAAAAAACTTTGCGTCCGCTTTTTAATATTATCATTATTTTCTACATGAGTCGTGTACCGATCGGTGTGGGGCCAGAGTCCGCCCAGTCCCTTCAGGTAGAGTATGTGGCAGAGTTGAAAGGTCACGCCGATCGCGTGTGGTGCGTGGCGTGGAGCCCTACCGCGGAGGTACTCGCCTCCTCCTCCGGCGACCACACGGTGAAGCTGTGGAGTGTGAGCGACGCCGGCTGGCGGTGTATCGCCACCCTCGACGGAGAGAACACCAGGACAGTGCGGCACGTCAGCTGGAGCCCTACCGGAGAGTACCTCGCGGCCGCCTCCTTCGACGGTACCGCGACGGTGTGGCGGCGCACCTCCGAGTCTGCGTATGAGTTCGAGGTGGAGGGCTCCCTCTATGGTCATGAGAGTGAGGTGAAGTGCGTCGAGTGGCTCACCGACACCACCCTCGCCACGTGCTCACGGGATCACACCGTGTGGGTCTGGGACCGCGTGGAGGAAGGGGAGTACGAGTGCGGCGGTGTCCTCACCGGTCACAGCCAGGACGTGAAGCACTGCACCTGGTGCGTGCCGGCGGAGGGAAGGCCCATCCTGGTCTCCTGCGGGTACGACGACACCGTGCGGGTGTGGTCGGACGATTCTCACCAGCGAGATGACTGGCACTGTATACAGACCATAGGGCAGCACGAGGGGACGGTGTGGGCGGCAGCCTTCCAGGAGCCCGCAGCGGAGGAAGGCAGCCCCGCCGGTCGGTTCCCTCTCATGGCGACCTGCTCCGACGACAAGACGGTCAAATTCTGGCGCTGGGAGGAGACGAAGCAGTTCAGCTGTGTGGCCACGCTGTCCGGGGCGAGCGAGCGATCCCTCTACGACGTCACATGGGCCCCCCGGGGTGCCCCCGTCATCGCGACCGCCAGTGGCGATAACAGTATTGTGCTGGCCTCTCTCTGGGAGGACCAGGAGGGGGCGCACGTGCGGGTGGAGCGGCAAGTGATGGAGGCACACGAGTCGGACGTGAATGGGGTTAGTTTCTCCCATTTTGGTTCGCTGGAGGAGAAGGGGGTCCTGCTCGCCAGCGGGGGGGACGACGGCCGGGTGAAGTTGTGGCGTGTGAAGTACGATTAACATTGGTATTACATTAATTGGCTTTTTATTATTATTGTGCGCATTCAGCCATTTTTTCCTTTTGTTTAGAATAATGTTTCTTTTATGACTGCTCTTTCTTTCTTTTTTCTCCGGAAGTAAGCTTACAGGGTTACGCAGTTTCTTTCTTTTTCATCATTTTAAAAGCTAATTTTTTTTTTTTTCAATTTCCATTCCCCCGAAAAAAAAAAAAAAACTAAAAAATATTTATTTCACTCCAAAAAAAAAAAAAAAAATCATATCATTCATATATCATGTACGCTCCTCTGACTGACTGCACCCACGCCACCATCCAGGCCATCAACCGTGCGAACAACACTCCCACGTTTTACGCCAAGAAATCCGCCACCCGCCGCGTCAGCCACGATCCCTACAAGGAGGGTCTCCTCAGCCCCGAGGACTCCTTCCAATTCAACGAGGAGCTCCAAGGTCTCTCCAACGAGCCCTCCCCCATCACCTGGGACGGCCAGCGCAGCGGGTCCTACCCCAAGGACGTGAAGATCAGCCGCCCGCTCTTCAGCG